ATGCAGCAACAAACAAGTGGAGGCCAGAGGACAACTTGCAGGAGTCAGGTCTCTTCTCCCACTTTGTGGGTCCCAGGGATTGAATTCAGGTCCTCAGACCCATCAGCCAGTACCTTTATCTACTGGGCCATCTTGCTGGCCCTCAGAGCTCATAAAAGGATGGAATGATGAATGAATCAAACTCCCATAACCTCAACTTTAGTGATTTCCAGTTAATGTACAACAGTTATGGATTTCATCAGAGTTGCAAATAGTCCTGTAGGAGTAATGGGTACAATGCCAATATTTAAGGCCAAAGGAGTTGACTGATTCTAAGCATAAATGCAAATATAACCAGAGGCATTATGGACAGCATGGCAAACAGAAACTTCCCTGGTGCCAGTTATCTGTAAGTGTGCCACCCCAGACAACAGTTCCAAGCTGCCCGAGCACCTGAAAAGCACTTGGGTCCATTTGTAGAAATGATACCTTAAAATATAGTGGTTAGGATAGCTCAGAAACCTAGGGTAGAACCAAACATGACTGGAAAAAAATCGATGAAATAATGTTCTGCTGTACTCAGATTGGTGCCCAGTCCAGTCTTCATTGGAGAGGCTGCCTCCAGCGGCTGATGGGCGCAAACTCACAGCCAAAACATCTGGCTGAAGGAGAGAGAGAGAGAGAGAGAGAGAGAGAGAGAGAGAGAGAGAGAGAGAGAGAGAGAGAGAGACTGGCTTTGGGTGGGCTTTTGAAATCTCAAAGCCCATCTGTAGTGACACTTCCTCCAACAAGGCCCACATCCCCTTAACAAGACCACGCTTCCTAATTCTTCCCAAACAGCTCCACTAACTAGAGATCAAGCCTTCAAACCTATGAGCCCATGGGGACCATTCCCATCCAAATTACCACAATCTATCTACTTTTTCCCATGTCAGTTGCACCGTTTTATGTTTCCACAAAAAATGCTTATGAAATTTTCAATGCATTCAGTTCCCTAAACCCTGTCCTTTGCGGAGCTTAGGAGGCATAAATAGGGGTGATGGATTAAAATATTGGTCAAAGTAAGTTATATGTTTGAAATTACAAAGGAGTAAAAAAAGAAAAAAATATTGCTTAAAACAAATATTGACTATTTGTGATCAATTTAATCCTCGGTTTGCCTCTCCTGTCTACAGGTTAGGGAGTGAGATTGAAAAATCCCAATCCTCTAATTGTGCTGTAGGGATTCAGGTGACCAGATTACATCCTTAGGCTATTTATGGGGCATGGTCACTTTTTTTACACACAGAAAACCTCTACTAATTCAGAGAATACATGGTATTAAAAGTTGTATGCTAGGAAACTCAGAGATAGACTCTGTCTGTCATCTATTTATCTATCTATTTATCTATCTATCTATCTATCTATCTATCTATCTATCTATCTATCTATCTACTATCATCTATCTATCTATCTATCTATCTATCTATCTATCTATCTATCTATCTATCTGTATATCTGTCATCTACCATGCTACATTCTTACTTACCTATCTAACATGGTCTTAGACTGGTCCTGAGGCACAGATCCCTACATCAAGGAACTGTGTAACTGAAAAGGCACCCGTACATCACTAGTCTGTCATTAATAATTAGCTCAGCCCATCATATTTCATGACTGTGTCTCCCAGGGAAAGGTACCTCTTGCAGGTTTCCATTTGCTCTTGTCAGCTTCTAAATCTCGGGGTGCTCTCAAGAAACAAAGAGCTTCTCTCTCAACCTGGGGATGGGAAATGTTGAGAATGGGATGGATATGAGGCTGACTCAGGGCTCACTCTCACTAATTGTCAGACACTGAGATGGACAAGACTTGAACACTGCTTGATTTCCAGTTGGCTCTGCCATTTCCAGGTGTGTGAATGTGAGCACACTTTCTCATTCATGGCACATTATTTTCAGACAATAATTATTTGTACTTCGATAGTTATTATCTTCCCTAGAAATACCCTGAAAAGACACAACTTTGGGGAGAAATGATTTTATTAAAATTTACAGTTGCAGGTTTCAATCCATCATTGAGAGGAATTCAAGTCTGAAAAAGCAAGCAAGCTAGTCACACCGCATCCATGGGCCACATAGAAATGACTGAGACTTTCTGCCTGCCTTCTCTGGTCTCATATAGCTCAGGAACTCCTGTCTAGGGAATGGTGCTGCCCACAGTGGGCTGGGTCTTCCTATGTTAATTAACAACCAAGACAATCCCCCTCAGACCAACCTGATCTAGATAATTTCTCATTAAGACTTTCTCCCGGAGGGATGAGAAAACTTGAAGTGAGTTCATGAAACCAGAAAGTATCAAGAACAGCATCAAGAAGACAGGCTGACAGGACAGGGTGTTGGGGTAAATGCTGGGGCTTTAAGCAAAGCTCTAGACCCCTCTCCCAACTGGGATAACTCTCAGAGCATCTTATAGTCAGTAGGTTTAAAGCAAAGCTCATGACCTTGTCAATCCTGTCCTGTAAAATGATATTTTCACCTCACTTTCATCTACATGAAAGGATTCCAGCACTTAAAAAAAACGTTTGTGAGATGGGTAAGAGAAACAGGGATGAAAATTTTGGCAAGTATTATGACCCATTTTGAAGAAAATGGGCCTTGGAGAAGATAAGTATCTTGCTTAGCCTCTTGAAGTCAATAAATGAAGGGGCTTTGAGTAAACCCAGATATTTTTCATTTCAAAACCATTGATTAAAATACCTTAACTAGACATTCTAGACAGCTTGCTCTTTTTTTTCCCATAAAGCAAGAAGAAACATCAATAGCTTATTCCTGACATTTGGTATTATGAGCATCTTTTCATTTGCTGGAAGTGCATGCCTTAGTACTGACACAAAGGAACATTTTCAGGCAAAGGGAATATGCCTTCTTTCTTTCCTGGTGCACTTATATTCAGATGTGAGAACTGGTAGAAAGCTGAATGTCTCAAAAGAAACTAATATTTTTTCCAACTAAAAACAAAAACAAACAAACCAAAGACTTTTCCCCCAAGTACTTCTAAGCTCTGTCAAGTTGAGAGTTGTAAGGATCACAGTATCCAACCAAGCTGTTGCAAATATATGCATAAAATAATATAGAATGAAATTAATGTGGTTTATGCTATCGCAGGGAAGAAGCAGAGAGTGGGTCAGGAGGGATGACTAAACCTTTTTTCATACAGTCATCTAAGATACAAGATTTCTCATCTCTTTTTATTCTGCTAATGTCTTCATGAAGCCCTGGTAAGTCTATGGTACTCCATATAATCCTGTATGAGGTGGGATGGTAGGAGAGCAGTCAGACTGCTTGTGCCATCATTACCAATAAGCCAAGCATATATCTTGAATTTTTGTTATACTGTTCAGATCTGATTAGATAGACACAGAGACCAGGGGAGAATAGGTAGGTAGAAGAAAGTTTGACAAATCTATATAAAGCTATAATTAGATAGATGAGATGATGTGGTATGCCACTCACAGTAAGGTAGCTATAGATTGTTGTTTCAAAAAAACTAGAAAAAGTCATGCTCACAAGAGTCAACATGTAGATATGATATCCAGTTGAAGAGGTAGATTTGTTTAAAATGATATAAAATTGTGCAATATCTACATTACATTATGCTACAGTATTTACACAACTTCTAATATTTCTGTTAAGTTTAATGTGAGTGGAGAAAGTAAGAGCTAATGAGGAGCAGGGCTGGAGAGATGGCTAGACTGTTAAGAGAACTTTCTGCTCTTGCAGAGACCTGGGCTCAGCATCTACATATGGTGGCTCACAACCATCTATAACTCCGATGTAAGTCCTTGACTTCGGGAGCCAAGGCAGGAATTCAAACAGGGTAGGAACCTGGAGGCAGGAACTGAAGCAGAGGCCATCGAGGGGTGATGCTTACTGGGTTTCTCCTCCTGGTCTACTTTCCTTTCTTATACATTTTAGGACAACTGGCCCAGGGTGGTACTGCCCACAGTGGTCTGGTTCCTCCAAATCAATCATTAATTAAGACTGTGCTCCACAGGCTCCCTACAGGCCAATTTGATGGTGGCGTTTTCTCAATTGAGGTTTCCTTTTCCCAGATGAGTCTAGCTTATGTCACATTGACACAAACAAACA